TTTCCATCCCCTCCCATTAATCAATTCCGCTGCTGGAAAAAATCAAATTAATGCATTAATTAAAAAAATAAAAAAAGTTCTTTTGAATTACTGCTCTGCAGACTTTGTTTACGAGGTAGCCGTGTGGTCCTTCTCAAATACTGTCAGCCGAAAGGCCAAAAATTATTTGAAATAATAAATTGTAAATTAAAACCCCTGAAAGGAATATTATTCCGAACAGGCAGAAAAATAAATTTAAAAAAAAGTGAAGAAGAGAAGGAGAAGAATTACTCCAGATGTATTTAAAAAGTCGAAAGTTGAGGAGAGTGCGGAGGAGGCCAGACTTGATAAACAAATAACACGATTATGATTTTTATGTAAGATCCAGATTAAAATATCAAACTTTACTTTAATTGTTGATGCCCGTTAATGACGGCAGTGAACGCAATACAAAAAGGCAAATCCATGAAATATAAGTTTCTGTATCAAATATTTTCTATCTCTAACTAAATTTGCAGCACCAAATTCGACTTTGCAGCACTATGTTCGACTTGAAGCAGTATATTAATGTTAACGTAAAGGTTATGTTTGTCTTGCAGGAATCAGTATGTACCTCTTATAAACCATAACTAACTTACTTTAACGTATTATGCTCCTGGAGCATTTGTAACATGTATTGGCGGTTTTTTCTAGCTGGATAAAAGTACCGCAAGTAGAAGAATTAAAAAACAGCCTAGGCCATAGTCAAATTAGCCACTCAATTTATATAGTTCCTCAAAAGTGCCCTAGAAAGGAATCGAGTGCAAAAAAAACTTTTACGAACAAAACATATTTTCCCAGAAGGGTTATTAATGCTATTGACAGCATAGACATTACAATAAAATATCCAGGTGGAGCCAGTCCAGAATATTTCAGAGGGAGATGTGTTACTTTCTCATTGAATGTGCAATCAGCGTGCAATGAAGACTTAAAAATTCAAAATAGTGTTACTCGCTGGCCAGGAGCAGTACAAACTATTTTAACAACTCTTCTCATAAAACACGTTTTCAGTTGGGCAATATGAACAATTTAGTTTCAGTGGGAGATTCTGGATAAAATGTGAATACATTATTTCTAGCCCGATTCCACGCTTCAAAGCGTGCAATGGAAACACGCCGAATCGTCTGCCCGTAATACATTGAATGTCCAACTTCCGCTGGTATGATCATGTTAACAATCTCTTGGTGTGTCCCTGCTCCAATTTTCTCAGAATATTTGGAGGTACATGGCAGTATCAACAGCTCACTCAGAAAAGATTGGGAGAAAAAGAAGCCTGTATTGAACAGGAAATTCCCTGGGTGGCAGAGAAAAGGCGAGTTTTTAAGACAATGCTCAACCGTCTCGGCATACAACTGTCGCTGGAAAATACCGGCAAAGTGGATTGGGAGCTCCTATCACATCCTCCTCACAGCCACTAACATTGCCCCTTGAGAATTTTGTGTTTGATCCGATCAAATGAGCTTTACGTTACACCTTGTTCAACGACTTTGAAGAGGTAAAGAACAAATATAAAACTGGTTTACAGATTAATTCTCCTCTAGGAGAATAAAAAGACTCGTAAGAAAATTGGACAAGTTGGGTTACGTGGAAAAGAAGAAAACAATCTGTCAATTTAATGAATCATTTTTGCTGTATATTTTATCTATTTAATTAATTAATGACCTTTTAAAATAAATGTTGACCTTGCTACAATAAGATTGTAATTTAAAAAAAAAACAGCTTCAAAATCAGATTGTGGCTTATAGATTATGGCTTATGACGAAGCTTATTTTCAAGATGGCTTAAAGGGAATTGAATAGTTTAGTGATTTGTTATACGTGCTGTCCTTGGAATCTTCCAAAACTCCAAGTGAGTTTTGTGTGTATGGGTAAATGTGTGTCGCAGATCCCCACCGCAAGCGCCATATCCCAGCTGGTGATCCCCCACTTCGGCCTGGGTCTTGGCATTGGGGTGACGGACGCTGCGCTGGTGCCGTTCCTGGCGAATCTCGTGGACACGCACCACGCAGCTCACTACGGCTCCGTTTATTCTTTGGAGCAGACTGCTGTGAGCCTCGCCTATTTCTTAGGTAGGAACAAAGTTCTTTACTGTATAACGCATTGTTACTGTGGGGAGTATCTAAGAAATCTAAAGGGGGCTTTTAAAGGCACCGTCATGAATTACACTTTTTTATAGAAAAGTTTCTCTAAGAAGGGGCCACTTTGATAGGTTGGGAAACAAATGAAAGTCATGCAGGTAAATGACATTGAAAGATATAGTGATGAAGCCATTTACAAATGAGCTAACTGTAAACGTGCTCACTGACAAAATGAGTGCATGGGCATAACCTGCATTTTTCCGGCAGTGGCCAAGCTGTAGCTCTTAAAGCGGTCCCTTCTTCACATAATCTCTCTATATGGTCGTATAAAATGAAGGTTTTAACATACCTTTGCCTTGTGATAAACGTGTGGATGAAGTTAGTATTTTCTTAAATTACCTGAATTACCTTCGTGATGTCACGCGGAGGAAAAAAAACAGACTTCGGCGAAAATGGATATTTTTTTGTATCGTTAACCATGCAGAGTAAACATGAAACAGATAATGATTTGAAATAAGATCATTTTTATACTATCGCAGAAAAAATACATTTCGTGGACGAAATTATATTTTCTTACACGATTCCGGTTGTGGTTTTTTGTCTCGACTTATCGGTGTGAGCAAAAAAACTGGATCTTGATCGTGCATTTCACACAATCATTTAAAATTAAAAATTAAAATATAACTATTTTATTCGTTATTTTTGTGCTGAAAACGACTCCTTTTGTGAAAATCAAACACATCCACAGCCTACTCGTCGGCGTACAGTGGATAGAGAAATATTATCAATATCTTATTTACGCCATATTCATATATTCATTAGCTTTAGTTTTATTTAACGCTACCTCGCCCAATTTTTCTTCAGTGTTACGTCAGTGAGAAACGTTCGTCTTATTAACGTTTTAGGTCCATTTGCTGGTGGGGAGTTGGTAGAGACGATCGGTTTCTCATGGCTGATGCGAATAGTGGGGCTGCTTAACATCCTCTACTGTCCCCTGCTCTTCATTCTCATCTTCCGAGAAGCCAGGCAAACAAAGAAGGTAACCCTTAAACATGATTTCAGAAAATATTGTTTTCTCGTCACATGTAGTAGTTTTCAAAAATAATACATTATTCAACAGCAAAGTACTGTTATTCTCCGTGACCCAAAGAAATAAAATAGTCATTCGTGTATGTAGAAATGTTGGAATTTGTATTTTTAAATAAATAATATTGTTGGAGAAGAGAATTAATAGTCGTGAACATTTTGATTGGCAATATTAATTCACTAACTACTCAACTACGTATATTTTCGTATCGTTTATCAAGCCTTTATATAAGTTCAAACTTTTTGGCATGGATTTCAACATACCATTTTCTTAAAGAAAACCTTGAAAAGTGTATTATTTTCGAACACCAAAACCATTACTAAAAAATGGAGTACATTGAAAAGGAGTACAATAAAAATATCCAAATGATTTTGTTGTACCCAACAACTTATGGTATTTTTGAAACATAAAGTTCGAATCATAAAAACTTTTTTTTTTAATTTTCTGCAAATACGCAAAACTGTTGACAACGAGATTCTTTTTATTGTTTTAGGATATTTTGTTTTTAAGTTCGCTTTTATAAATATTCCAGATTACAATATATTAAATCAATTAAAAGGTATTAATGACGAAAGTTTCATTCTCATTTCCAAACAGAACAAACAAACATATTTTTTAGGAGAATGTGCCAGTTTGAGACAGTCCACGATGAGAATGGAACATTACTTTAGTCCTTAAATTGGCTGCTGCCATGTAGTTACATATTCTTTTGTATTTGTTAACATGTCGCACTTCATTATGAAGAGAATATCAGGGAAGATTTGACCTACTTTCTTAATATATTCTGTACGTTAAACATAAATTTGTGAGTGACTGTTACGAGAGACATCGCCACTGATAAAAAAAATATTGATCCCGATTGTGAAAGATTAGTATAATTGTTTTAATTGACAGCTTCATTTTCTATATCTCATTATAGTCAACAAACACATAATATTTTAATTGAAAAATTAATTATTTTTCTTATATAACGCAAAATATGTTATTAATTGTATCATATGTTCTGTTTCAGGGAAGTATTGTGGATTCAAGCACATGGCTTATGAACTATCAAAGTAATGTGAACACTTCTCAGTCCAAGAATTTTGCCTACAAACAATTCACTGACGCATCGGATAGCGAATGATACATTGAAATTTGATTCAAACGTTTCAAAGCGTAAATGAGATAATTAAATAAATAACAATCAGAAACTGCCATTGTATTTTAATGATCGTGCAGAGTTATTACTTGTTCATAAGAATTATTGTATTTTCCAAATTGTTCTTGTTGTAAATATCTATGTATCTGTGAATAAATGTGTGAATAAACCAGCTTGTTTGTCAATTGACATAATAAACATGGATAAGATTACTGTATGACTATAGTTTTTTTCATTACAAATTATCACTCTTTATATCCATCAAATTATTATTTTCAAGTTTCTATTGTTTTTTTTAATTAAATATTTTTTTCTGCGACTGCAACTGAAATGTGCCCATTTTCTGAAGTATCTCTGGAAATTAGAAAGCCAATGACATTTCGCACGTCATAAATGCTTGTTTTTTGCCGTGTGGATACTGAAGACTGAACCAAAATTATGTGTCAATTAATCTATCAATGAGCGAATATACCTTTTAATTGGCGAATTTAATGGTGATAATTTCACTTTTCTGAGACAAAGACGTTTGTTGTCATCGTGGGAAGTTTTGTTTCTTTAGTAGGTTTTAAAAGAGAACTCATTTCCTGTAGCTGCGACTAAATTATGACTAAAACATTCAAGAGTAAGCAGGTAAATACCGGACATAATTGAAACACAAGTTATATTTTTAGAAAGGCATTTAATGCAACAAATATTGGTATAATAAATAATACAGTTATTAAAATAAATAATTCAACGAAATATACGCATTAAACACACAAACTTGCTATTTAGAATATCAATTTGTTTCAGACTGGTATAACTGATGATAATGTGAACAATGAAACGACAAATAAATATTCATAATGATCTATTACAATAAATTACAATGTTGCCACATATCTAGTCTTATTTTCTGTGTCTCCCTTGCACTCCATTTGTTCATTACAAGCAGTCTCGTCCAAACTTTCATGTTATATTCAATTGGGATTTTTAAAAAAGTTGTTCCCATCTTGTAAGTTACATTGTTGTGTGCTGAGTGCTCAACACTTTGAATCTTACGAAATGATTAAAAACACTTGATGTGCGTAAGGACGCATTTGTGAGCAAAAGCCCGCTGAGAGCGAGCAACTTTAGTATGTGGCAGCTGGTGGGTAAGGTTGCGCGGAGTAGGAAGGCGTGGCGTAGAGAGGCAGGTGGTATATGGGGACAGACACGTAGCTGGTGGCGTAGTCGGCGTAGCAGGGGGCCGCGGGTGGGGCGGGGGCCGCGTAGGGAGCCGGGAATGAGGAGAGATCATCACACACATGATAGATTAGACCCATTTTAGAAAGAGGCCAGTATGCCGTGTGGGCTATTGCGATAACCTATTGATTAACAAGAATTTTAGGGCTCGACTGAAACAATTTGTATTACAAACGGGATACCAGACCACGAATTCTGAATCTTTCGGGCGTCTGGGCTGAGTAGATGATAAGGTTTTTTGTGAAATTGAGTTAATCTGACATTAAATATACACTTCAAATATTATCGTGTAAGTGGTAAACTACTGTTCACTTCTATCATCCTTTACTGTGTTCTTAGCTTAATGTAAATATGTGATCGTTAAACTTTAAATGTTATCATAAAAGACATTTAAAAGTTTAGTGAGTTAATTTTATAAAAGTTCATGCGCTACAGCCGCCTCATATCTCACCATTAGAGTGTGATGGCGTGATAGTACCTCTTGTCTCTAATTGAGGCATTGCATACTTCTGGTTAACAAACCTCCTTAAAGTCTCGTTTCTAGGTTCTCATAATACATAGCGAGAGGCTGTCGGGAAAACGTGAGCAGTGTGTGGAGGAAGTGATGTGTCCGCAGTGCGTTCGGGCTGTTTACTCGGAGGACGGGCCGCGAGGTGGTGGCCCAGGCCGACGAGCAGGAGCCTCCGCGGGCGGAGAGGGAGGAGCGGCGAGGCTGGCAGACGGCGGCGGAGGGGTGCAGAGGGCGGAGGGGGCGGAGGCGGAGGGGGCGGAGGCGGGAGGGGTGCGCATGGACGCAAAGCCGCGCGAGTTGCAAGCCCGCCGTTTAGCCGCCCGTTGGCAGCCAGTGCCGCCAAGGTTGGTGTAGGCCGCAGCTCCGTTGCGCCACTGGGCCCCAAGGGGCGTGGGGCCGGGGCCTGCGGCGTGCGCTGGCCGGATAAGGGCAACGGGCGGGGCTGGTGGGGCGTGGGCGCCGATCGGGCTGAGCGCAGCTGGGCGTGGGGAAGGGCCTGGCGAGCCTCTGTCGCTGGGGAAGGTCGCGCGTTCGGGCCTTGCGAAGCGCCCGCCTTTCGGTCTGCTGGCGCGGGCGGGCGAGGGGCGGAGGGCGTCGCGGGAACCGCTCTTACAGCCCCGCGTACGAGCCTGCCACCCGGCGCCCCCGCTTCACTG